ACCTGTCCTGCACACACCTGAAGGTCCTAATCCCGCGGTACGTAACTCGATATCCTTCTGATGTCCTGAAATGCTTCCTTCGGTGAGGTCGTGTATCCTGGAGTGTTCCTGCAAAGAAGGTTCTCGATTTAGGGAGGTTTTCATGCGATAAAGTCTTTGCTAAAAAGCTTTTCTCTTCCAAATGAGTTTTGGATTCTAGGAACTCATCTGCAGGAGGTTCACACAAACTTCTCTTTATCTATTACGAAAGTCGATGGTGTAGTTCTTTCTCTTGTACTGAAGTGATCCCTTTTAAAAGTTTCTGTTGAGAATCTATTTCAGTTCTTTGTTCTATGACATCAGATTAATATGACAGTCCTTCTTTTAAACCAATTTCTTTGATCTTAGCTTAACGTACTCTGGGTTTTGTATCGTCAGACTTTTCCCTCAGATAAGAACTAGTTGCGTCAAGAAAACTACTTAAACATTCAAGTTTTGTTTTCCAAAATTGTGACATGATCCCCATTTATAATTAAAGATTTTCCAACCACGCTATCTATTGGTTTTAACAGGCTCCACCCACCAAAACAAAGCCACGCCCTCTATCTCGATTCTAACAGGCCCCACCCACCAAAGGAAAACCACGCCCTCTATATCTGTCCTATTTGTCTCCACCCACCTAAACAAAACCACGCCCTCTATTTGTCCTAATAGGCTCCACCCCCAAGAGCAAATAACTCGTCCTGCCTATAACTAGACTGTCCTGCCTTTTTCGTATTAGTTCTCCCTGCGAGGTGAAGCAGGTAGGAAGAAAAATAATTACCAGGTACGTATTAGGCTAATTTCTTATAATAAAACAGTATCATTCATCAATAATCAGTAAGTTTCTCACTTTTCAATACACCTTTAGTGCTTATATGAAATATACAATAAAGTGCTGTAAAATTGGTCATAATAATAAATTAACAATACAATCAATTAAGATAATCAAATAATAATAGCGAACATAATATTCCATAAAAAAAAAAATCTTGGAACAGGACAGGACAGCAGAACAGGTGACGTAAGGTTAGAGAAGTAAAAAGTTGTTTGTGAGAAACATGTGTTAAGACCTCGCGTTTGTCAGACAGGGACAAGGGGAAGGATAAGGAGAGTGAGAGAGTGAAAAGGAGCGAGAGATTTGAGAAATAGAGAGTAAAAAGGGGAGAGAAGTAGAGGGTGAGAGGAAAATAAGGGGGGAAGAAAGAGAAAGTAAGAATAAAAGAGTGCGAATGAGAGAAAGTGAGTGAGTGAAAGTAAACGAGAGTGAAAGAGAGAGAATTGTGAGAAAGCTATTGAGAAAATGAGAGGGGGAAGTGAGAAAGAGAGAGCGAGCTAGAAAGAGAAAGGAAGTGATAAGAGAGCGAGAGAGAAAAGAGTGAAATAGAGTGAATCAGAGAAATAGAAAGGTGGGGAAGCAAAAAAAAAAAAAAGAGATTGAGAAAGAAAAAGTGAAAAGGGGAGAGTGTGAGTAAGAAAGGGGCATAGATAAAGATGGAAGAAAGAGAGAGAAGGAAGTGTGGAAAATTTTTGGAGAAAATGAGAGATGTGGGGGAATAGAAAAAAGCAGACAAGGAATTGAAAAAAGAAAGATGGAGAGGGATTTGTTGACAATAAGAAAACATAAAAGGGTAACTTTAAACAATCGACACACACATAGAAAGAAAGTACACATATATAAACACTCGCACGCAAACACACACGTGTATGTCTATGTCTGTGTGGTGTCGCAGTAACCAGGTTGAACTCCTTTTCAAATCGAGTATAATCAATTCTTCAGATTCTCGTGATCACGATGCTTTCTAGGCCTACTGATGCGTGTTTCCCTTTCTTTTCCGCAGATGTTGGCGCTGAGAACTGTGATCGTGGCTGTGGCGGTGGTGGGCGTGGCCAGGGTAGGCGCCCGCCCGCAGGTCCTGGACTTCACCAAGGTGGCGGCGACGGGCGGCTTCGGCCTCCTGGAAGCCGCCGGCCGCTCCGGAGGCGTCTTGTCCAACGTGGCCTCCGACGCCCTGGCCACCGCGCAGACCTTCGGCGAGGGAGCGCGCGACGTCTTCCGCGAGACTTTCCAGAACGGAGCGCAGGGCCTGAGCCGCTTCAGCAGCGCCTTCAGGGACACCACCGGCGAGGCAGTCCGAGGCTTCAAGGACGCGACGCGGGCGGCGAATACCTTCTTCGCCAACGGCGTCCGCTCGACGGGGCGCCTCGCCGCCGACACCGTCAGCACCGGCTTCGAGGTGGCGAGGGAGACCGTGGGCGCGAAAGCCGACTTCCTGAAGGACGTCAACCACTCGGCCGTCAATGGCGCTGGCAAGGTGGCGGGCGCCGTCGGGAACTTCGCCGAAGGAGCCATCGACAACACCGTCAGCTTCATCGCCCCCGCGACGCAGATCGTCGAAAGAGTCATCAACAAAGGAATCGAAAACTTTTCGCACGTGCTCGTGCCCTCCGGGTTCTAAGCAGCCTCCCCCCCCCCCCCGCCCCTCCACAACGTCCCAACTGCCACTTCGAGAACAAGCTTAAGTTTTATCGACAAATCCGCGACCTCCTGATGGGGTCTTCAACGTGCTTGACCTGTTCCCTCCCTGCGTGTCTGCTTGCCTAGCCATATAGTATTTTAAGTAGATTATTACGTATATATGTGATCTGAATAAGATTTATTTTGAAAAAGACATACACTTTTATTCTAAAAAACATCAAATATTCCTATTATCACCAAAAAAAAGTCAAAAGTAAGACAAAGAAGGACTAAGCCTGGATCGATAATTCTAGATACTGAACAATCAATCAATGGATGAATTTGCGGTATTTTCCTACAGTGACATAGATCTTCATATTTTACTGCCATGATAATTCAACAAACTAAACGAACTCAAAGATATTAATAGAAACAGATATTTCAGATATTTATTGTTGCTTTTGCATTCGACATTCAGGTAACTAAAGCAAGGGAAGATAACATACTTATAATACATAAAGAGACAAAAAGGAGAAAATGGTAATACAGATTCTTTTATGCATTTTATTGTTTACTCTCTGCTACTCTCGCCAAACCTTCAAGTGCCATGCACAGGAATCCAAAAAATGCAATAAAAATGGAAATCCGTATAAGACAAGTAGCATTTTTCAAATTCAACGTGTTTAAACGCTAGATTTTATCTTCTTATTCTTTTTGTTTCTCAAATAATGCATACTATTATGTGCTTCCCTACTGAGTACACTTACTACAGGACCAGTGGTTTTGTATACCTATCTAGTACCACTGCATGTTGATAAATCTATGTTGACCTCTATTTCCTGTTTACTTGCAGAACATACTGCAGAACCTTATGAGAATACTTCTTTCATTTCTAATTGATAATGGCAAGAATCAGGCCTTGATACTGAAAAACTGCCAGACCGTTATTTGAAATTCCATGAGCTATTTCGTGAAATTAACGCTTGTTTTGGTTTACAACATCGATCAAAAAAAGCATTTCATGATTCTTAGGGTATATAATATTTATTCATAGTGCTATATTAGTATTTTAACAGATTACGCAATATATAACGGATCATTTATCTGGTTCTCCTTCAATTTTTGGGATTACAGAAAACGAACATCAGGGTTTGGGGGAAACTGTTAATTTTTTTACTAGACAACCCTGTACAAGGACTTTTCAAGGACCATTGACCCTCTGAACATGAATAAGGGATATACTTTTCCTAACAAGAAATGATACTCGATGATTTTCATGATTCAATTCTAAAATTTACATTTGAAGATAAAGAACGTTTTGTAAAACCACACGTATCATTGTAGTTCACATATTTCATGGATAAGTTGCTCATTTACCAAAATATGCATATAATTTACAACTTTTTTATGCAAGTGATAATGAATAGGTTTCAACAACTACATCATATATAAAATATTTTGCGTTTCATGTGCTGGGTCTAAAAGACCATATACTCCAGTCTTTGATGTTATTGTTGATACTCTTCATTATTATTATCACTATCATTATCATTATTACTATTATTATTATCATCCTTAGCACTTTTATTATCATCATCATCATCATCATCATCATTATTATTGTTATTATTATTATTATTATCATTATTGTTGTTGTTGTTGTTGTTGTTGTTGTTGTTGTTGTTGTTGTTGTTGTTGTTATCAGTATCACCATCATGCTTATCATTATTTACTGTAGAATTATCATTCCTATTATCACAATTATTAACACTACTATCTTTATCATTATCATTATCATTATCATTATCATTATCGTTATTGTTATTATCATTATTAGTATCATTATCCTTAAAACTATAATTGTTATGATTGTTATTACTATCATTATTGTTATCCTTATTATTATTATTATCATTATTATTATTGTTATCATTATTATTATCATCATCATCATTATCATCATTATCACCATTATTGTTATTATTGTTATTGATATCATTATTTTTTGCAGTTTTAGTTATAGACCTTGACTTCTTTATCCTTCCCACATCTTAGATAAATATTAGAAAGTATTATTATATCATTTTCACTCATATTCAGACATTCATCTCATGTAAATATTTATACACTCGCTCCCTCACCCAACTGAACCACTTTAGCTCGGTTTTCGGGGTCGAAGTACATTTGCTTATCGTTTATCTGCCGAGATGCTCAGTTCCAGGATTCTTTCAGGTAAATTGTTGCATATGAAGCTTTTGTATGTGTTTTTGGTTTATTAGATGCTGTTATATCATTATATAGGGTATTAAGAGTGTAGTTTTTAGTCATCGTAAATGCTTTCGATAGATCTGCTGTGTATTTGTAGTTATTCATTTGTGTGAAGCAAGGACATTTTGTGCTTTGATATTTTCCTTATATGTGAGACAAATGTTGCCATAGCATCGCATAACAATTAGCTGGGACTTGCAATGGCTATATAATTGAAGCAAGAATAATTTTCCTGTCCGCTTGCAGCCAGGATCTATGAAGTAAGAGATTATGTAAAAATTATGCATTATCATTCTGAGTAGATATCCTCAAGGAATGTATACGGTGATATGGTTAACTATCAAAAGAATTTCAGGGTTTTGAGAAAGCATTCATAAGTATTTAAGAATAGATGTATGCCTGGGATACTGTCACAATTCATTTAGTGAGATAGAAATTGAGTAGCTTATCCACGAAAGGATGCAACACATGTAATGTAGTCAGTGTTCTTGTATACGAGATTTATGTATTATGATTCTTTAGTTTCACACAGAAATCATTGTTTTTTCTTGTTTCCATTATGCAGTGTAAAACGTGTGATCTGTTGTTGTTTTCCATCGTAATTGATGTAAGTGAAAGCATTGATAATTGTGAAGTGACGGCACCCGTCTGAGACCATGTCCCTATTACTCTAGCCACTCCTGGGGATCCATAAACATGAAGTATTTAGCACAAACTATTTCCTTTATTTTTGACATTATTCTTTGCCTGTACAGATTATTTAATGAATCAGTGAGTTAAGCTTTTCCCATTGTGACAGCGTCATTGGATTTTTCTATTTTAGTTTAGTCATTATGTTATTGTATACTAGGTTATTTAATGACTCAATGAGTTTTTCCCATAGTGACAGTCATTAGATTTTTTTGTTTTAGTATAGTCATTATGTAAATGTATACCAAAGTAATATGTGTTACACAGCTTTCTTACTATCAACTTACCATATACCATATGGCCGTATACCCATTTTTTCAAGCTTCTTGCTCTGCATCTCCCATCACACTATCCAACTCCTTCAACACACTCCATTGGCATGACATAGACAGCTGTCCCTTACATAACATTCTTCCTTCAAACTCAGTCCATACATCATACACACACCACCCACACCAACATAAATCCAAACTCTCAACTCTAAGAAATCCTCACACCAAACTTCCATTCATATCATTGAGCTGCATATCCCACTGCTCTAAGTGTTCCATTGGCTCCCGGACCCCTTACTCATTTTGTGTTCCTTGTATATCCCTTCCTCTTTTCCTTTTTTTCACTTCTTATTTCTATCACTTTCTCTTCTCCTCCTCCTCCTCCTCCTCCTCCTCCTCCTCCTCTCCTCCTCATTTTCTTCCTTCTCTTCTCCTCCTCCTCCTCTCTTCATGCTCTCCTCCTCCACTCTCCTCTTCCTTCTCTCCTCTTCCTCCTCCACCTCCTCTTCTTCCTCCACCTCCTCTTCCTCCTCCACCTCTCCTCCTCCTCTTCCTCCTCCAACCTCCTCTTCCTCCTCCACTTTTCCTCTGATGATGACAGTCTTTTATTTCAATCAATTAATACTGAAGACGACTACAGATTCCTCCAACACGACATATTCCCCCAGGAACAATGAGAAAAGTTGTGGCAAATGACCTTCAGACCTCATAATTGCAATAATTGCTCCATTTCACCAAATCACATACACCAGTACACTACACCTGCTCTTTCCACAACCAACAACTGACACCCACAACATACTACAAAATAGCAATCACATCTTTAACAATCAAATTGATTTTATCACAAATAAAGCAAACAGAACTGTGGGGTTTCTGTGGAGAAACCTTCACAACTGTACACCAGACATCAAACACATAGCTTACAACACACTTGTACACCCAACACTCAAGTACTGTACAGCTGTATGGAACCCCTACACCAAGCATAACATGCGAAGCTCAAACGGGTTAAAACTAGGTGTATTACACGTGATTACATGCACATACCTGATATAATAACTCACATGGAAAAAAATAGATAAATAAAATAGATAAATAAATATGGATGTGCTCAAGACAAGAAGACAGGCATACAGACTTACAATAATGTACAAGTAGCACAAAAACTGAACAAACATACAACACTACAAGCACCTTCACAAACACCAACACTACCATTTATACCTTTCCCGCACCCCTAGCAACCAACCCTATATGCATGATATGTGGTCATCAGTGCTCTGAGCATTATCTTTGAGATTGAGTTTGAGAACTGAAACTGCCTTTTATGTATTAGAAGACCTCATGCATCTCATGCTCATGAGCTCCATGATAGTCAGTGCTAAGGCAAAGGCAGAGGCAAACCTCAACCATAAATGCAGTTTATAGATCTCCCTAGTAATTTACTGCTGCCATTGAAGCACTTTCTTGCCATAATGTAAGTAGTGGAGATTTGTTGGCTTTTGCTGGAACATAAAGCATGGAAGAGGAGGAAATTGCATTTATCAGGTTGGTCTCCAATAATTTCATATAATTGAGAATTTATAAAGTTTAGGATAGCAATAATATGTCAGTAATGGTGACTACATGGTATGGTGTGTGAGAAAAGATATTAATAAAAAAAAAATCTATTTTTACCTCTAAAATGTGGTAAATCAATGTTGTTTAAAAAAGGAATAGCAATGAAAGGAACTCAGATTGGGAAAGCAAGAAAGCTGGGTCGGTTGGTTATATTGATGAACTTTTAATCTTGTTTACTGTACCCTTACAATAGCACTAATAAGCATTTTATTGATTCAAGGCCTAACACGGATTCGCCCAACGTTGACAAGCATCCGGACAATGGCAGCAGCAGATGGTTATGCTTTTGAAACCCTTGCGGTTTCTTCACCTCGAGAAAATGTATACCATGTAGAGCTGAATCGACCAGATAAATTGAATGCAATGAATAAAACTATGTGGAAGTATGTATTGTAAAAAATATATGTATATATTATTATTATGCTAATTATAAATGTATACCAATTGTACTTGCTTGCAAATTTTATTTTATTTGCATTAACCCACAGCCCATTGCCAGTGGGAAAAAGTAGTGTTCATTGTAGTATTGTTTTGTGAAATATCTCTATATGTAGATGGCTCCACAATTGCTTACCCACCAAGAGTAGTAGACCTTTTTTTTTTTTTTTTTTTTTTTTTTTTTTTTTTTTTTTTTTTTTTTTTTGTCAATTATACTGGACTGAAGTTGAATACGAGGCTTATGGAACTTGTATAAAAATTGGATCTAAATTACAGAGATATTGGACAGTGTTTCAACAAGCTTGGGGAAGACACAGACTGCAGAGCTATAGTTCTGAGTGGAAGTGGACGGCTCTTCACCTCAGGCCTTGACCTAAGTGACATGTCAGGAATAGTATCATTAGTAATGGGGGATGACGATGTCGCTCGAAAGTGTCGTGCTCTGCATCACCTCATCAAAGAATTCCAGGATGCATTTTCTTCACTGGAAACGGTAATCCTATTCTTTTTATCATTTTTATGTGTGCAGCTTTTCTATTTGTGTTAAAGGAGAGAACCCTCTTAATGCTAGAGTCATGTTTGTTACTGAGTATGGATATGAAATTTTTATATGCATTAGAATTTCTCCTCTGTTAAATTGGTTTATTGAAATCTCACTTTGGCATTAATGTTCTCAGGGATCCTATGCCTATAAGTATTCATTTCACAGGTCATATCAATGTCATATTGTTTACCAATAGATTTGAATGTATTTACATAATTTTTTCCAGAGATTATGTATTACTGATGATTTCAGTGTCCAAAACCAGTGATTGCTGCTATACATAATGCCTGTGTTGGCGGTGGGGTGGACCTTATCTGCTCAGCGGATATTCGATACTGTACATCTGACTCATGGTTCCAAGTTAAGGAGGTAGAACTCGGTAAGTATTCCAATGTTATTGTTTAAAGTTTTTAACTTCTCTTTTATTTTTACATTTTCTTTTTAAAGCTTCACGTTTCATAGTTATTAATGTTTATAGAAATATGGAATGACAAAAAGTTGATTTAAGTTAGTGATGGAAAGATAAATGTTATATACAGATTTGATGGCCAAAGTTAGATGCACATGCATTTATTATGGTTTTGTTTTGTTTTTCCTTTATTTGTTTAATATATGTGTGTGTGTGTATACAAATTTTTCTTCTGTCTTTTTTTTAATGGCACTGAATTTGCACAGTTTGATTTAAAGATGCATAATCAGTGTAGCTGTTGTTCTATACTAACAGCTATGCAAACATTATTGTTATCATTAATATCAGTGTAATCCTACTTATAGTTGTTATTGTGATTTCACAATAGTTGCTATCAATTTTTCCATTTTTCATGAAACTATTAGTGTACTCAATGGGAAGATCATTTTATTTCCAGAGACTATTTATTTATTTCCACTGGAAAAGACAATTCCAAGTTTTGAGCATGTACAGAAGTGAAAACCCATATAATAGGGATATACAGACCATCCAGACTCTAGATAACAGAAAAATTGAATATGCAGGAGCCTTTGGATGTTGTTGGCATTGTCTCATTCAGTGTATTATCCTATTGGCAGGCCTGGCAGCAGATGTTGGAACACTGCAGCGCCTTCCCAAGATTATTGGCAACCAGAGTCTTGTCCGGGAATTGGCATTCTCTGCAAGGAAGATGTTCTCGGAAGAGGCATTGCGGAGTGGCCTTGTTTCTAGAACTTTCTCTGATAAGCAAAGGTTGGGGAAATTCTTTTAGATAATTGCCAGAACATGAATGAAATGTGTATGATGTATATCTTGCTCTCGCTTTTTTCTTTCTTTCTTTTTCCCTATAAGTAAATGCTTGGAGGTTATATATTTTTTCTTGTTTTGTAGAAAAAATGCACATGAAGGAATATATTTGTAAATATGAATAAATATGTTGTGTAATGTTTTTGTTAATGTCTTTTTGTAAATGTATAGTGTATAAGCATTCCATATGGGCATAGTATATTAAAAATAAATATAATAATCAAAGATATACATCCTAGGTATTAAGATGTATTGAATCTTCAGGTAATCTAAACTCAAGCAGTATCTTGATTTAAATCACCCTTCAACAAAATCATAACCTATTCTGTTATGTATTTCAGTGTACTAAATGGAGCACTCGATATGGCAACAACAATTGCTAGCATGTCTCCAGTGGCCGTCCAGAACACAAAAACAACACTTATCCATGCTCGTGACCACACCGTTCAAGAGGGTCTGGACTATGTGGTACGTTTGCTGTTGTAGCTGTTTAGTTGGGGATGATTATAATGAGAATAGAATGAAGTATCTATTTTCTAAGGAAAGACAGTAAAAAAGCAATTTTTTATAGTGTTGCTTGAAAGTGTTACAGTTCAGTCTGCTTGAAACTAATTAGAAAACACAATCATGTTTTACTATTATTGTAGTAACCCATGTTAATCTTTTCATAATAATGATAATGATAATTTAAGTATTAAAAGTAATGAAAATACACATTTTCTCTCTTTACTAGTAGTTGATGATGTACAATTTATTTTTTTTATCTTTCATTTTATTCATGTAGACCACGTTTCAGTATTTTTACACCTTCAGAGTACCTAGTATGTGTTAATACATTTACAGGCTATGCTAAACATGACGATGCTCCAAAGTGAAGACCTCCGCATAGCTGCAATGGCAATGATGAGCAAAGGAAAGAAGCCAACATTTGCCAAACTTTAGAAGAAATTAATGCTAGCTGACATGACAATTGCCTGGAATTGAGTTTTATTTTAAAAATGAAACATTTAAGAGCTTATGATCACTACAAAGGGGACTGATATTTTTTAGGTGTAAGTTGAGATTAATAAAAAGTATTATTTACTGTTTGTAATATTTTTGGGGGAAAGAAATAATGATAAAAATATTAATAATGGTTATTATTGTGTCAGAAATTAAACCGTTTTTGGTAACTGTCCTTATGAAGTAAGCGAAACTACAGTGAACATGTCAAGTACTCGGCACCAGTGGGTCAGTGGTAGGTAACAACAAATTTTGTGTATTGATACATGTGCATACTGTATGTTCATTGTATTCTTATAATCTATTTGATGTCCTGGACGAGGTTTTGTTTCATGGAGATTGTTTCATTGCTTTGCTTCTCAGCTTAGCATGAACTCAAGTACTAATAATAAAGTGCTATTCTAAACAATGCAAGTTTTTTCAGGTTAGTTTGTACATATATAAGAGTATTTCTATCAGATTTGTGTGTACTTGTTTTCATTATACAGATGATGCAATAAAGATATAGTTTATTTGTTAATAATTTCTTATCCTTAGGGAGTTTTTTATAAGCAATTTTTAAAAGAACAATGCAAATTTATTGACCTGGTTAAAACATTACATGGAAAGAAAATACCAGGCATATTAAAATTTGTGGTCCATTAAGTAAAAATTTTCTATATGGACCTAGATAATAAATTGAGGTAGTGCAGAAGATATAGGGAAAATATTAGTATAAATTACAAATTACAAGATCAAAGAGACTAATTATTATCTAATGATGATATTGTGTACCATAGACATGATGACTATGGAAAAGCATCTATTACTGTAACATTATGATTTTTTTTCAAAAACAAGATACTGCCTCAGTGTGCAGTTTTAGTTAACAGTTCAGGCATTGTTAATAATGTTGTAATTATAATTAATATGTTTATAGGATAGGTACACATCTTGATTCATCTTGTATTGTCACGTCCATTAAATTCCCTCCCCCAATCTCATACTCATTGTCATCATTATGGGGTTTAGGAGATGGGGACTGAGGAATGATATCAGGGAATCACCTGTGCCTTGGACCTTAGCCCTTGCCTCAAATAATTTTGCATGGTCTTTTCTTTTCTTCTTTTCCTTTTCCTTCTCTTCTTCATCTTCATTCCACATCCTTAACATTTTTTGTCCAAATTAGCTCATTTTTAACATTTTAGCTACAATACTTTATCATAATGCTGTATGACATTGTACTACTGCTATATTTTGTATGTACTGACCTCAGATGTTGACACGACAGAATATTTTCAAGAAATAAATAAAATCCATTAAATTTTTCATGATAACTGATATTGATTGTGAGATCATGAGCTATTTCATTAGTGATGTGGGTATTATCTGAAATGAATATCTGATTCAAATAGCTTAAAAAAAGAATGGAACCCACTATATATCTGTAATTGTGAATGGAATTCAGCATTATAGTACTAATTTGCCACCTTTCTCCTCTCTTAATAACGGGCCTGTTGTCACAGTTTTTTTATCTCTTATTTTCACCATTCCTTTTTTTCTGTAGTCGTTAATTGCAAAAGTGGTTGTGACATGACTATAATCTTCGGTCAATCAAGCTTGTTATTTAGTATGCAAATGATGAGACAATTATTCAAGGCATAAATAATTTTGAAGGACCTATTATTTATTTTTGTAGTATGTACTGTATGTATATTTTCTTCTTGATTGTATGTTTCCCCCTGCATATTATTATTAATCAAGGGTGAACACAATATTTTGAGAGCCTTTCATCTCAACAGTTCTTGTTATCAGGACCTCCATTATTCATGATTAAATTTCATTTCTTTCAATTCTATTACCCAATTTTTTATTCAGCTTTCATAATTTTGATAAAGTAAATTAATATTATATAAAAGTTTATCCGCACTAGGGTATTCAAAGAAAACGAAAATATTGTCTTGTATTTATAGATTTATAGGTGTCTGTGTCTGTGTCTGCGTCTGCGTCTGTGTATGTGTCTGTGTCTGTGTCTGTGTCTGTGTCTGTGCGTGTGTGCGTGTCACCTTTTTGTCTAGAGGTATAAGGCTTCTCAAAATGGGATATGCATCAATACTCAATATATAATTTATTTTCCAAAGCGACCGTAATGTACTGGGCGATACAATTCTGCAACACTCATAATACATTGGTAACAAACATTATATACATCAGAGTACATTAGCCACAGATAATAGAATGATGCATGTACATCAATTTGTAATATCTGAAAGAAAATATTCGAACTTTTGGCCATTTGGAGATGAGAATGTGATGGATCTTGTGGAAAAAGGAAGCATATTGAAGAATAAGATGACGATGAAGAGAATGGTAAAGAAGAGGAACAGGAAAGAAAAGAATCGGAGAAGGGAGAAGAAGATAAGTGGAAGGAAGAGATTTAAACACGTTTAATCGGCGAATAAAATCATTGCTTATATATATAATGAGTTCATCTTGCACGTATATCACATTCAAATTTCGGTTTATAACTGAAGGTAATGTTAAACTGTGTGTGTGTGTGTGTGTGTGTGTGTGTGTGTGTGTGTGTGTGTGTGTGTGTGTGTGTGTGTGTGTGTGTGTGTGTGTTGTGTGTGTGTGTGTGTGTGTGTGTGTGTGTGTGTGTGTGTGTGTGTGTGTGTGTGTGTGTGTGTGTGTGTGTGTGTGTGTGTGTGTGTGTGTGTCAGGAAACATTGTTAATCCTCGTCCCATGGAAATATATGTATGCCACTGACAGTACTCTTATGTTTTTATGTAGAAAACAGCCTTGTCTGTAGCTAAATTCTTCCGTGTTGATACTGCCATATATACTTAAATATACAGCTTGTATTTAAAAACCAATTGCAAAAAAACAAACTATTCCTTTGTCTTCTATAATTTCCCTTTAAACTGAGTTCTTTGTATGCATTGCCATGTATGTACGATATGTATTGCACGTATATCCGATTTGTATTTATGTATAAGTTCCTATATACGTATGCATATAAAACATACAAAATATTAAAAGCATTCTTTAAAAAGATCCATTATCCTTTATGCAGATCTTGGCTACCTCCAACTTCGCTATGTGTTTCTTAAAATACTGTATTGAGATGCGCAGTGACATGTACCGTGACAAGTATGGAAATATACACTATTTTCATTGTTATATTCATTTCTACACATTGCTATGCTTCTTGACATGTTGCAAAGAGATGGGGTCGAATTATGTGGCTATGCAATGATAGTTATCACAGGGAGTTTACGAGAGTTTGGTGATAGAAAGTCCATTATATATGTGCTTATTATAATCTATCCCAATATGGTAATATGATATGGGGATACAAATAGATATACATTTTAATATATGGATGATTCGATGGATGCATTTATTTATGGATTCAATGGATGTGTACATATTATACCGTGTGTGTGTGTGTGTGTGTGTGTGTGTGTGTGTGTGTGTGTGTGTGTGTGTGTGTGTGTGTGTGTGTGTGTGTGTGTGTGTTTGTGTGTGTGTTTATAGCAATTTGTCGTCTTGAAATATTCCAAAAAACAAGATATTTTGATTGTATTAGTTAGCAATACCGGTATATATATATATATATATATATATATATATATATATATATATATATATATATATATACTAGTGAGACAGTATGAATAACACCATATGTACTTATTTATGTATGTTATTATTATGCCAGATAGAGCAAATCAGGCGTTGTTCCCCGTGACGTTTTTCTCAGTTCTTTCTTTAAACACTATCATCTCAAATATTACATTTTTCTTGGATACAGAACACGTCACTTAAAAAACATCCTAAATTACAAGATTCCCCTTGGAACAAAAATCACAAAGGAAATAAAATAAACAAATCCCATCTGCAGCAAAATCACTTTGTCGACCACTAAAATACCACCAAGAAGGAGTCGATATCAACAGCAAAACATAACACGGGATGAACTGCACAAGTCCGGCAGTTTCGGTGGTTCATGATGGCGATTTTCTTTTGTTTTCTTATAATCCCTTTGCTTTTGTTATTGTAGAGTAAATTTGTGTTACGGGAATAACGGTTTGTTTCAAGGAAGTCCAGTAAGATTGAGGTTGGGTGATGGTTTTGAAGGTTATATGATTTGTCTCCCTTTCCTAAGCTTTACTGGGTCCTGTTTTGTTCTTTTTCTTTTCTTTACTTTTTCTTTCACTCTTGTACTTCTTGTCTAATCTCTTTCCAATATCTCTCCTATTGCCTTTACCACTTTTTGCTTCTGCGTCTTTTCTTTCTTTTTTAGTTCTTTCACTCATTTTTTTCTGGCGCTAACTCCGCTACCTTCCATGCTCTCGGACTTTCGAGATTCAAGTCAGCGCATCACCTATAACAACACGCATCAAGTGGCAGCCCTCGTGTACGTGTGGTTGTTCCTGTTGATCGGCGGGAGAACAGGAGGACTTCCGGGGCTGAGGGAACAGATGGACCCCCGTCTGGCGTTGCGACCGTCGGGAATGGCGGATCCTGGGGGCGTCCGAGCGATCTTCGGCCGCGAACTGAAGGCTACTTTGAACTCCGAGACTCTGGGGTGAGGAAAGGGACGGTGTTAAGCAGTGTGGTTTAACTCAGACTTAGTTTTGAATTGAAGACAAGATGTACATCGTGTGGGTTTATCGATGCTAAATTATTCTCAGAAAGTAGACTGCTGTGCCTACCTACAAATATCACACCGTGACATCTTATCTGTGTATAAATCCTACAGGTTATATCCGTAAATCCGATACCAATATTTTTAAAAATATGCAAGATTACACATAAAAATTACAGTCACATGATTTCAGTGTCATTCTATCCAGACAAAGGTTACCATGCCCTAAAAATAATGAAGCCCAACATAAGAACTGCACTCGAACAGCACGCACTTGGGAGGCGGCAGAGAGAGGAGCAGAGGGTCGTTATCCGGGGTGCTTATGGGCACTGGCATCTCACGCACTTCGCCCACAAGCTTCTCGAGAAGTTTGCTGGCTTCCACGTCTACCTCTATTGGTGCAGAGATTAGAGTAGTTTAGATACGAAAGAAAGAAATGCGACGGATATTACTATTGAGTAAAGCACAAACGAGATTGATCTGAAAAATTATTTCCATGAAAGAACTGTTTCTTGCAGAGGAAGGAGAATATTCAGCGAAGAAAAACAATCGAAGAGCAATTTCTATGGTCTTACTTTTGGGCATGTCAGGCGCTGGAGGGATATGGGGACGTGAGACAGATTTCCGTCGCGGCAAGAGCTTCTTCTCCGCAGCTGGATCTGCAGAACGAGGAGGCAAGAACAATGAATTTAGGAATGTCAAAGTATAGCCTAGATTTTCGCCAAAGCATTATCTGGTAAGCGAGTGTTGACGCACCTCTCCCTTCTGCTGTTTTCTCCTCCGCTTGCGCTGAAGGCGGAGGTGCCGGCGGTGGCTGAACGGCCTCCGGAACTTCCTGAGGCTTGGGATTCTCTTCCTGTGGTTCGTCTGCCTTTTCTTTCATTCCTCCTTCGTTAGGCGATTCCTCCTTTACCCGTTCTTCTTCCCGTTCCTCTGTCTTCGCTTCTTCAGCATCTCCCTGCGCGGCCTCATCTGCTTTTTCCTCCTTCGGCGCGTAAGTAGCAGGCAAGGGACGTTCATTTCTGTCGGCGACCGCTTCCCCGTTCGTCTCCTTCCCGCTGTCGTAGTACCTGATTTCCTCGGGCTGCGGCCGCTCCTCAGCCGCCCTCTCGCCCTCTCCTTTACCTCCTTCATCCGCTTCCTCCGGATTCATCCTCTTGACAGCGGCGTTCCTCCTGTCGTTGACGGCGTGGGGCAGCGTGGGCTGGTAGGCGTCGTCGCGGAGGTTGACGCTGTGGTCGGGGTGGACGACGGTCGAGACCACAGACACGTCGTCTTCGTCGTCGTGGCTGGACCTGGGGTATGTGGCGGTCGCAGCCGGGCATCTGGCCATCTGGGAAAGGGGAGAGCGCTTTAGGGATTTTTTTTAATAAGTCCAAACACATGTACAGTGCATATATGCTTGTTATTTAAAGATTCATTGGTTAATGAGTTGCACCCAATCTCTGGGAATGAATGTGTATCATACCTGATTTTGCTGAAGAAAAAAATAATGATAATAATGAAAATATCAATAAAAATTAAAATAATTATAATAATAATAATAATGATATAATAATAATAATAACTATACTAGTAATAATGATAATAATAATAATAATAAAAGCATCCCAAATATGAGCGGGTGAGGCTTTAAAAAGTGCCACGGCTCATCTGACGTACTTCAGGGTCTTCCCCGTCTGGCTGGCGAGGCTGAGGACGCGGCGTCTGGCGAGGCAGAGGATGATCACCTCCGGCACCCGCAGGAACGTGACTCGGACCAGAGGCCGTGGTGCGCATTGGGGACCCGACGGAGGACCTCCCGCTCGCGCTGGCTTCGGTATCTTCAGGTGTCAGAGAGAGAGAGATAGATGAGCTCCTGTTCTGGCGTCAAAATAGCATGCTAGGACTTTTTGTGCATAAATAAATATAAGATAAAGATAAATATAAATACATATATACATATATTTGCATATGTATTTGTATACATATACATGCCCTACATATATATATATATATATATATATATATATATATATATATATATATATATATATATATATATTATATATATATATATATATACATATATATATATATATATATATATATATATATATATATATATCACAAATAATGTGATTAGGGAATTGGAATATCTATCTTCCTCTCTTCTAAATTCTATCCAGTAATGGCAACATCAAGAAGCAAGTCAGCAAAGCATATAAAAAGTTGCATCCAAGATATTCTGGCCAAAACACGAGCGCCTGCAGAGCGGAAGCACAGAATAGACAAAGCAAAAGATATTTACAGATACTA